AGTGCTTAAAGATCAAATGCAAAGCTTCCAAATATGCTACATTTTTATAGAAATGTTGTTTTTAAGACTGCCTGTATTTTTATTTTATTTAAATCGAGATAATACACCCAAAAAAAAGCTTTTTATTGATCCAAAACTCGACCCAAAGCCGTCTGCATTTCTGACATGTAATTCCCAGCAGCCTCCGCGCGTGACGTAATAGTGGCCAAACAGTCTCTGGACCAAATATCCCGACTCGGCAGTCTCGGTCACATGTTTTTCGAAAAGAAAACTGAATTAACATGGGTTATTGTTGAGCTTTTTATTGTACGAACGGTGCGGGATCTGGGAGAGTTTTACATGCATTTCCCAAAGACCAAATCATCCGCAAAAAATGGATTTTTTTAGTGAATCGTGTTGGATGGCAACCGACAAAATGGAGCAAGTTGTGTTCTGACCACTTCGCGTGTGATGCATACGAGGTTGATCCTGCTATCATGAAGTCTGTTGGTGGAGAAGCATTAATAGCACGTCGGAGGCTGAAACCCGGAGCCGTCCCCTCAATATTTCAGCACAAGAAACCACTGAAAGAACGAAAGAGCCGGGCGATGCAGAAACGCCAAAGAATTGAGGTAAACAACTTTTGATTAGATTTCAAAGCGCACGGAGCACAGCAGATAACGCAGATAACGGAATTGCAGTTTTATTGCTTATAGAGGTGGGCACCGTTAGATTCTGTGTCTTTACGATCATAAACAATGTGTTGGATGTGGAGCTAGGATAATTAATAAGGGCGCTAGGAGTGATAGGTTAGCATTTTTCGCTCGGGGCTAATTCACTGTTAGCATTGTAGTTTATCTGCAGCTCATTCATCGCTCCTCCACTCATAACGGAAAATGTCGAACGTCCTACAGTCGGTGATGCAGACTTCTTCTCCCATCTCTTCCTTCACTTTCTCATAGTTGTGGCAGCACTTGTTTTCTCGGCTTGTAGGCATGGTCTGGCAGTTTCCACATCTACACCAATTCTCAGCACCCTCGGCCTCTTCCTCAGATGGCGAACTTGAATCATCGCCATCAGCACTTTCATCGGTGATATCAGGTAACGTTTCCTTGTATTTCCTCTTCGACATCAGAGGCTCGTATAGATATGGTTGGATGTCGACAACATACTCCAGATATTGGGTGGCCTCCGACTCAGAATCAGACATGATAGACGAAACTAAGTTGTACTATCGGCGGAAGCCGCTGTGAGCCGCTGAGAGCATTTTTCGCTCGGGGCTAATTCAGAGGCTCACTCAGAGCGCCTGGACTTTATTTTTCTAAACCTCTCTAAAAAGGTCAAATTCCACTTGTTTTGCATCAATCTTGATACAGGGTACTTATTATATGTTATAGTTTGGATTCCTAAAGCTTTTAGTCTATAGTCTACTCAGAATCAGACATGATAACGAAACTAAGTTGTACTATCGGCGGAAGCAGCTGTGAGCGATAAGCCAAGGTTTGTTTGTTTGGCCACTGTGACGTCACGCGACGCCATCTTGCGGAGGAGCGGCTGAGAAAATAAATCGTCGGACTTGGTGTTGGGGGTTGAACAAAATAAATATTGCGCATTGCCAGACGCATATTATCTCCGATTTTAATACTGCAATATCTTAGATAGTGTTGTAGCTATATGATTTCGATTTTACTGGCAATTATAAAAAAAACCTTTGCATTTGATCTTTAAGAGCTTTAAGTGTAAAATAAAAGTACCCATCGCCCAACCACCTAAATCCAATGCTCATGTGAACAGGGCCAAAATCCAAAACCAGATAAAATGGCTTCATTAACATCTAGTGAAGTCAGTGTGTTACCGCATAATGACGTGTGAACAAGATAAGAGAGGACTTGTACCAAAGCGACCAGGAACATTCATTGTAGTGTTGAGTCATGTTCTTGTGGCTGGAAACATTTGTAGTGTTTGTTCCCATATCTGACGTTTGCAATGATGACAAAGAACAGTAAACTAACTTGATGTTCAGATAGCGCAGGCTATACAGTATATCATATCAAAGAATATCATTCCCAATATTCATTCATAAAGTATTAACCCTAGCAGACAGCTACAGTAAAACATGCAGCATGCCAGGGGAATGAGTTTGTGTTCAGTCTAGATGTCTTGTTTCAATAGTGATTATAACTGTGATGTGGATGAGTTAGTTTTTGTTTTTAGAATATTTTTATTTTATTTTATTTTATGTCTGTATCTGTCAGTGTCTTTCTCACTGGGGTTAAGGGCCTCTCCGGTGCCTTACAAGCACCCAAGGACAGAAAAACATTGAAATGTCTCCGTGACGAACAGCAGTCCACTGTAAAAGAGTAGTCATCCGGAAAGACACACACGCACATGCACATGTCATGCACACATCCATGCATTCAGTCTTTAAAAAATATCAAAACTGTGTCTGTGATGTTCATATCTTCCTATCTTTAGTGCCAATCAAACTGTAGTGCTGCGTTTGATCATCCCTCACTGCTCTGTGATTAAAATGTATAATTTAAAGAAAGCGTGTGTGTATGTGTGTGACACCAGCAGACAGACAAACGCAGAATATCTGTCTGTTCTCACTCTCTCTTGCGTTTGGCTTCAGTTCAGGCAGCAAAACACACTCACCATCTATAAACTCTCAGTGATCATAAGATACACTTGGCACATCTCTCTCTCACACACATTCAGGACATTGTGTATCTGTCTACGTATATTCTGCATATTTTGCATTGCCAGTGTGTCTGTGTGTCTGTGTGTGTGTGTGTGTGTGTGTGTGTGTGTGTGTGTGTGTGTGTGTGTGTGTGTGTGTGTGTGTGTGGGTGTGTTGCCCTCTTGAAGTGAGTGTGCATATACAGTACGGTGTCACAGCTTTTCAGTGTCTTTTTAGGCGCGCATTTGTTAGTTTGTGAATGTGTGTGTTTGTTTGTTTATCTAGATTCTAGAGGGCACACCTCCAGCCCTGTGTACTGTGTACCAAGGCCTGAGGCACCGCCCAGAGGGTGTCTGTTTTGAACTACAGAACCAAACCGCACATGTCTTTCAACAGGGGTGTGTGTGCGTGTTCCTGTAATCTTGCATACAAATGCTTGAGTCTTTGTGGTTGAGTGATTACACAGGAAATATACAATTGCCTGTTGTCAGCATTATAACGCCGGTTAACACCTCTTAACAGGATAAAACACAGTATTACCTAGACAAATCTTTGACAGAAGAGAGGGTAGCCACTCGCATGTGGCAGAGGAAGGTGGCATGATGAACAACATTTCAAGTTCCCAATGGATTTAATGCTTCAATGTGCACAACACTTTTGAGTTAGAGTAAAGCTTAAGGGGTTGAATTGTAAACAGATACACACACAGAACGAAAATATGGTACCAACTATTAATGTCCATGCCTTGTTTCAATGTTGTAAACGTTTTTAGAAACACATTTACATTACCACTGAGAAAACTTTAAAGGTTTCTTTATGATGTGAATCTGTGACAAGAAACATATTTTATGTATTTAAACCACAACATACAAACATTCAGAAGACAATTTGCAGGTTTTTATACAGTAAAAACTAATGCAAAAATACGACAAGACACTAATATAGCTAACATATACTGTAGGACACATAACAAAAACGTTATGCAAATTGGAAACTTGTTATTTAAACAGGTCAAATTCACACTTAAACACACATTGTGCTTTCTCATAAAGTTGTAAAGCTGTGTGTGTGTGTGTGTGTGTGTGTGTGTGTGTGTGTGTGTGTGTGTGTGTGTGTGTGTGTGTGTGTGTGTGTGTGTGTGTGTGTGTGTGTGTGTGTGTGTGTCTGCGTGAATTGAGTCAGTATAGCTGATTGTATTTCCTCTGCAGTAGCTGATACTGCGTGTGCCGTGACCGCCTGCACCTGTCACTGTACGCCACGCCACACGCACACGCACACGCACACGCACACGCACACGCACACGCACATGCACACACACACACACACACACACACACACACACACACACACACACACACACACACACACACACACACACACACGTATAGCAGAGTCCTTGCAACTGGATGACTGGATACGCACAAAAAGCTTCTGTCCCATGGGCTTAGTTAAAAGGTTAAAGTTGCACAGTGAAAATAATCACATTTCCTGATCCCATTTTTTAGTGGACAAAGAACACTTTCAGTAGTTTTTTTCAAAAATTACCAGAGTTATGGTCATTCAAATCTTGAATTGGAAACTGATCTGATGACGATAAGCCTCTGGCGGCAATATTTCTCAGATTCTGGTGTAGAAAGCGGATATCAAGGAGTTGTTTATAGTACGGTTTGCAACTTGAGACGTCATAATGGAGTTTGAACTAAATGAACACTTCTAGTAACAGTTTCACATGTATGTTAAATTATTAAAAAGCTAAATCATTGTACAGAATGGCATTGTGTTTCTATATTGCACATTGGCCAATATATTCAGCCCCTTTTTTCCGTCTGCAGGAACATGCAACCAAATCCTACTTATAGCGGATTGGTCAATACCTTTCTGACGGCCAATGGAAACTAGCACACTGCCAATACTAAACTTTGACCCACTGCCTACACATTCTGCAGATTCAGCATCTGCAATCATTTGTTTATAGAGGTTATGGTAACTTCTTATGATTTATTAAAATGTGATTACAGAATGCTCCTTGGGGGTCTGTATCACTGTTTGTTTTATGCAAATTGTCAGTGTGTTTCAATGCTAACTAACTCATTTAGAATTTGCATTGCAGTATCTGGCACTTTTTAAAGGAAAGATTCGATAAGCATCCAGTCTGATAACCCTAAATGACCCTGGGCTGTTTGTTGAACGACATGCTATGAATAGTACCCAGCTAATTTTAACCTTATTTATCTTTTTGTTATCTCTCCCTCTCTTTCTTTATGGCAGTCTGTCTCGTATGATCACACACCCATCCACCCACTTGATAAACACATAGCAGAGCAACAGATTCAGACACATGTCAAACTTCATTTTTTTATTCACAAAAAGATCCAACAGGTTATGAATAAATATTTAGCGACATGAGATGTGATGGAGGTAGAAAATAAAAAAAAGTTCCTCTTGTACACACACAACTACATACCCAAACCTACTTTTGGTTTTTACATTACATTTTTCAGTTATGTCTCAGTACACACAAAGTATTAAACGAACATTTGAGTGTAAACTCGAGTTTCAGTGCTACTCCACATGTATTTACAGATATAATACAAATTGCACAATAAAACAACTGTTCTTTTTGAGGCACAGATAAATAACTGAATTTGAAATAAAAAAACAAGTATTTTCCAACTTTCAAATAATCTGTGGACACATTACAGTACATTGAAAATATTCAATGGCACATTTCAAGCTCCGCACAAATAGTTAATCATCACATCACAGGTACACAAAACATACAGACAGACACACACAGAACATATTTACTAACAACTGCTAATTATTGACCTTCAATACCCAGTTCAGGTGTAAATTCATCTATACAATCATCCATACACATACAAGCAGGGCTAGGGAGATTCATTTCAATATGTAATTCGTCCTCTTGGAGTGTAATGTGTAATGCAATCTACTAACATTACACATTATATTAAAGTAATCATTAATGATTACTTTAATATAATGTGTAATGTAATCTAAATGTATATGCTAATTAGCATATACATTACTAAGATTACACATTATATTAAAGTAATCATTAATGATTACTTTAATATAATTAGATCATTATTTGACATTAAAACCTATTCAAACACACCTTAATTTCAACTACGTTTTTGAGTAATGTCAAAAATAAGCACAACATATGAGTTATTACCTTGCATTGTGACATACATTGTTATCAAGACAGAACCAACTGCCTGAAAATCATCTTCCCACCCCTATCTGACCAATTTTCTGACCAATGTTATTAGAGGGACAGAGAAAGATAAAGAGGGAGAAAATAGTTCCTGCGAATTTGTAATGGGAGAAAGCGAACACAAAGAAAGAAAGTTATCATAGTCACAAGTTTGGGTCTCAGATGTTTATCTTACACACAAATATACACCAGGACCTGCTCTGAGGTTTATCAGGAAGGAATGGAAAACACAGGAATTTATTATGAGTCAGCCTCAACTGAGACCCTCTGTTTCATATAAGACTGTTTAGCTACAGGGCAAACAAAATGTATTTTTTAATCTCTGCTTCATGGTGGGTTTGTGGCTTGTGCCTTTGTTGCTGGCAAACATAGTTTTCAGCACTGCAAATGTGATGGCTTCTGTTGAAAATATCAGTCAGGGTCTGAATACTGAATACTTTTGATAACAAAAATCTGTTTTAATCTTCATTCATTCCTCTAGCTTTAAGTCAGACTATTTGTAATGCCGACAATCACTGCTGAACATGTTTTACTTGTGTAGCTGTTTTGAAAAAAAGAACAGTGACCACACATTAACCCTCTCTAACACTGACTGAATACACATATTAATATTGGCTAGCAACACTTCAAGCTACCGCCTAAAAAAACAATAAGTCTTTGTCAAACCAAAACAAACATTTTGAACTCCACCAAACTTCACAGCACGACTCGACTTTCGCAATGTAAAGACTTCAGGCAATTGAAGCCAGATTTTCCTTACAACTCCCGTTAGCAGAGCTGTTAGCCTCTACTTCTAAAACCTGGTCCAGGAGAGGAGTCGGAGTCGGAGCCAGACTTAGCGAGCTGTCCCGGATAGAGCTGTCCAAACTGCCCTTCCACCCCAACCTCTGCTGAAGGTCCAGCCCCCTGACACCAGTCAGGTCTGAGCCCACATTCGTCTTACCTGGGGGCTTGGTGTAACAATCTCTGTCCCTGCACCATCCCCATCCTCTCCTCCCTCCCCTGCTCCCCCTTTTGCCCCTGAGACAGAGTATCTCCTGGAAGGCGTGCCTGAAGTCGGGGCTGCGGCAGTAGATGAGTGGGTTGAAGGCCGAGTTAGAGTATCCCAGCCAGTTGAGGAGTCTGAAGAGCAGCTTAATATCCCTTAAATTGAGGAAGGTAATGAGGATGTTGAGGATGAAGAAGGGTAGCCAACACAAGGTGAAGGTTCCCATGATGATCCCAAGAGTTTTTACAGCCTTGTGCTCCTTCAAACAGAACTTAAGACGTTTTGCAGCAGAGTATTTTCCTTCACCTTTTTCTGTCCTTGCTCTGCTTTCTGCTATCTGTTCCCCCTTCCCTGTGTCTGTATCTCCTGTTTTCTGCATGTTTAGTCTCTCCTCTTCCTCCTGAGTTCCTGTTCGTTTGTTCAATGCTGGACTATCTTCTGGATAAGACAGCTGTACAGCGTAATGCAAGTGAGAAAAGTGCCTCTCCCTCCCTCTAATCTTCTCCAGCTGTTTCTGCGCCTCCTGGAAGACCCTGGCGTACAGGAAAATCATCACCACCAGCGGCAGGTAGAAGGACACGATCGAGGAAGACACCGCGTATGCTGCGTTGGTGTTGAATTCACAGCAGTAGTTGTCCTCCAAGCACCGCTTAGCTTCCTCATCGTGTGACATCGACAGCTTCAGATGGATGGGCAGGAAGGAGATGAGGGAGGCCACCACCCAAACGCAGAGGACCACTGCAAAGGCCCGACCCCTAGCAGGAGACAACAGAGAGTGCACAGATGAGGACTATTGTAAAAAGGTGAGTGGAAACACTGACAGGTGACAGATGTAGATTTAGAAATGGGGTGGCTTTCTAAAAGTGTAATAAAGTCTCTTTAAAAGCAATGTGATAGTATCAATTTGTTAGCAAAAATAACCTTCTGTCATATCTGGGCACATCCTAAGTTTAATTGTTATTCACTGAGTTAGCATTACACTGCTATAGCATTGTCAGAAAGAAGAACCAGAGGTATTTTCCTTGTTCTCTGCGTTCTTCTCCCCTTGTCAAAACTTGTGACAGAAATGCAGATATTCAGCTGTGCTAATGTAGCTTCCAACTGCTAGCCTCAAGCAGAGAAAGGGGGGTGGCTGCTTTATAACTCTACACCTGTATATTATTTTTCATTGGCAAACATATAAAGTCAGTACCAGCCAACGCTGACTCAAGCAACATCACTCAAGTCAATTTACAGGATATTGCGCTGCTTCCTTTGAAGCCACAAAGGCTGCATACCGCTTTTTATGCAGAAACATAACATACGCAGTAACGCTTTCCAAATAATGAGAAATACACTTGCTACTTAAAGAACAATACAACAAAACTGTTACCTATTTGCAGAGCCGGCCCGACCCATTAAGCGACATAAGCGGCCGCTTAGGGCCCCGCAGCCACTAAGGGCCCCCTAGCAACAACAACAAAAAAATGAAAATGTATGTGCAAAGCATAAATTACAGTTACGTTGACGTTACTTTGAATCGCGGGGTTAATCTAAACCGTTAGCAAGTAGCTATTGCTAGCCAGATATATTACATAAACACTTTGTCACACAATCTAAATGTAATGTTTTTTAGCGATACCTGGTGATTTCAAAGAAAGCTCTCTGGGAAATGTTGACTTACTGTTCGACATGAAGCTAGTAGCTACCTTACAGTACACAGTTGATCCTGAGTCCTGTCAGTTAAAGTGTTTCATAGTTAGCTTAGCTAAGCATAAACCTAGCACTGAACTATATGGATGTTATGTGACAGTATTTCTGAGAAAAAGTCAGCTGAAATGGTGGCATAGTTGCCACTGCTTTACGTGTGAAAGCATGTTTGAACGTATTTGCAGCAGTACATGTGGCTGTTTGGCCACTGACGTTGCCATAACAACACCTAAATGTGCAACCTCTTTTTGTTACAGATTTTTGCATGAAATTATAATTATTCGGAATGATATTCCTCTTGACAGCTAGTTTCTATGTGAACATTATGAGATGGACAGCGAGAGAGAATAAATGAAAAACAGTTAAGAAATACTATATGACAAAACAAGAATAAAGAGTGATTTGTAAAATATCCAAAAAGAAAAATGTGTTTACAGTTCTGTTTCATATGGGTGTTGAGAGATGTATCCATAGATCTCTTAATTTTGCTCTCAAAGTGCACCAGATTGATGCTTTTAACTTCAATATTTAAAAAAAAATCTTCCCGGGGGAGCATGCACCCGGATCCCCCTAGGAGGTTAGGTCCACAGTGTTTACATGCTTATTTATACAATATGTGTGCTTATGCTAACATCATAAGACAAAAGTTGGTTCCGTGTTGTGTGTAGTGAGAATAACACGCTAGAGTGAGGGGGGCCCCCAAGCCAAAGCTCGCTTAGGGCCCCCAAAAGTCTAGGGCCGGCCATGCCTATTTGGACCAAACCAATATAAGCAGAGGGGAGGATATAACAACGCTGACTTAAAGACAGAAAGTTAGTGTTGTCTATGGATTCCAATTTTACAGCAGTTTTACCTGTCTACACCCTAAAAAGTGACACCAGAGCGGTTTTTGCCTTTGACAGAAGATGAAAACACCTGCTGTGACATCACTTTTTGGGTGTGGTTGGATGTACAACATGACAGAAAGTTACAACATGTAACGGGCGGAGCAGCAGCAGCTCTTTTATTACTTTGTACTTCTGCTTATTTAGTAAGATTCACTTATGATTGCAGTGTCTCAACCTTGCCAATCTTTCAACACATCCAAACCAAAAAGTCTTGGTCATACCTGGTGATTAGCGTTGGGTATCGAAGAGGCGAGGTGATGGCGAGATATCGGTCCACAGCAATCACACACAGAGTTTCGATGCTGGCCGTCACACACAGCACGTCAGTTGCGGTCCAGAAGTCACACATGAAGTTTCCAAACTGCCATTTTCCCAGCAGGATGTAGCTGGAGCCAAAGGGGACCACAACCAAACCCATGATGAGGTCGGCCACAGCCAGCGAAGCAATGAAGAAGTTAGTGACTTTCTGGAGCCTCTTAAACCGCAGGATGGCCGTTATCACCAGCACGTTACCTGGACAGAAGAAAATATATACATAGTAATGTAACTGGAAGTTGTCGAAGTTGCGTTGATCCTTATTTAACAATCAACTAATCGCAGTGATTACATTTTGTGTAACTTACCAAAAACTATGGCCAGAACCAGAATAGCCATTGCGCCCAGCAGCACGAGCTCTGCATCGCTGTACTCCGAGGATCTCTCTGGCAAATCTGATACAGTGGAGTTGCTGTACTGTGATTGGTTAGCCTGTGCTGAGACAGCACCTGCATGTTCCATGATCTACATGAGGAGCATATCAACACAATTAACTTCATAGATTAACGCAGCAGAGAGAGCGCAAGTGCATGCCAGTTCAGGTTTCCAGTCCTTCTTTACACATTTAATGTTTCTGTTGAGGCCTGTTGCTTCCCAGAGACAGTATGATAATGACATGAATAGAGTTAGACTATTTGTAAATCAGGAGATGATTCATTCTGCTGAAGAACATGGCGAATTGCATTTAAATTGGAGCAGCATGAAGAAAGCCTTTCATGTCAGCCGCTGAGGGCTCCCTTTTGGGTTGAGGTCATAAAACGATATGTGCTCTTTCACAGAGGAAGTTATAACTTATATGTCCCTCGTTGTTCTCACGTTTTCACCAACTTTAGTAGTCTGCATGCCTTTGGGTCTTTCTCTCCCTGTGGTAACTTGCAATCAGCATTTTGTTCTGCTATGTAATAGCTTTATTTATCATGTCGAATTTACTATTTACCAAAGTGTTTCAGTCAATCATAATGTACACGTTATTATGTTTTGAAAAAATAGCATAGGCTGCTCTAATCCTGCAGCAGTGATGCATTTGCCTCAGGATCAACTGGCAGGGCAAGACCATACAGTACAGTGCATTTATTATACTTATTACACATTAAGGCTTTAGTAGAATTTATCATAAGGTATATTACAGTGAGGAGAATACATACATATATAGTATGTGTAAATAGGCTGCCGTAGCACAAAGCCACTCGCCTGCTGTTTTCCTCTAACAGCAACTTATTTTTTCCCTCCATTCTGCCTGTTTGTTTACTACAGAGTAATTATGTCGTTGAAAATCTTAGGTCACAGGTTTCTCCAACAATGCAACACAATAATACAGATAAGCAGACAATATTAAAAACATATCAAAATATACTATATTAAAAGTAATACAAAAAGAAAAATAGTTTTAAAAAAAGTGAGAAAAAAAAAGAAGTGGAATAGTGCAAAGCACCCCTTACTAACTTGAAAAGCTTCTTAGTTAACTGTATCTTCTGTGTGTATGGACACATGCATTATATGTACATTGGCCTGATTCCAACATATCCAGACACTCACAACTCATGTTCATGCCAGCTGTAAAGAGACGCATTGATTCACAGGTGTTACTCCACTTCTCCCGTGGTCAAGACTAAAAGTGTTGAATTTCGGGATGCATTTTAAAATGCCAGGCTGGACTAGGACAAGATTTTTATTTAATGACATTCATTTCCCAAGTGGAATGAATGTAAAAGCCGTACACTGTCATTACTGTAGTAATACAGAGCATAAGTATCAGTGTCATCTTTCCTAAAATGTCCTCCGCACATTACCATTTAGAGAATATACAGGTACCAGAGAAAGTGATGGATCTACAGTTGACTGCAGAGTAATTTAAAAAATCTATCTTTCATTACTGCAGCTTAGAAGGCTATAATTGTAATAAATGAAGAACCGCACAGTCTGCACCTGATAAATGATAATGCACCTAGGCTATACTACCAAAATAATGATTTTGTCTTTTATTCATGTTTTCCAAATGCTCAGTGCACATGTTACTCTGTCACCCTTCACACTCTTTAATGGTCCCTCGTGACTTATTGCCCATTTGATCAGATCAATAATCTGGACCACAACCTGCAGTCATACAAAATAAAGATTGCGAAAGACAAGTGGCTCTCTGCTCTCCCCCCTGCATGAGCTGTTTAAACATTTATACACACACGGAAACTATTAGGTCTCTAAGGTCAATAATAACAAAACATTTACGTTGACATAAATATCTCAATATGTAGGCTTGGTTGTAGTAATTGTTGTGAGCACTCAAACACAGAACAATGCACACAATAGTACATACACAAGTGCACATGCAAACATAAAAGTACACATGCACGCAGGACACCGAGCTACTGCAGTGCTTAATAGAATAAACAGATGACAGCAGATCAAACTGTAGGGGAAGAAACACGTCTATATATACAAAGGATTCTCTAATAAAAACTGAGCCACAAAACATGCCGCTGTCCTGATATGACTTAACCATAAATGTTAAAGATGAAAGCTTGTTTGGATTCACTCAATGTGAGAAGTTAATGTTTACATTTTTTATTGAAATGATTTGTTTATGGAATTGAGCTCATCATTAAATTAACCACGTTTGAACCTTTACACACTAAAATGAGGTCTTAAAATAGCCATGGTGTCATCCCTAGATGTTTTAAATATATCAATCTATATATATGTATTCACTTTATTTAAAGTGTATGAAGCATATGTAACAAAATGTAACATTTATATAGTTTTCCTACCTTCAGGCTCCGTCCTGTGCTTTACAATCCAGTGATTTGATAATCCCAACACCTTTAAATCCACAGCACAAAGTATCATTATAATGTATTTGTCAGCAGCTTTTGGGCTCTCTCCCTCTCCTGTTGAGTAATGAATGTCTGGTATTACGTGTGACACACGCTCTCTCACACACTCTGCCTCGCTTTCTGTTTCCTGTACATGTATAACACCCTGTCAGCCTCGACCACACTTGCCCTTTGGAAGCAGCTGAGCTCGTCACACTTTTTTATAAGCAAGCCCTTGTGACATCACAGCCGGACAGTAGCCAATCAGAAGATAAGGGATGGCTTTTTAGTATATATCGCATTTCTGCAGTGTACTGACAGCTCGACAGCACCCAGTGCCTTTTGGGAAACATTCGTTTTCTTAACCTGTATTTATTCAGGTTCTCTGAGCTCTCTTTCAGCACCACCCTACTTAACATTCACACATTAGTCCTGCAGTACAAAACCACAGACTTCTGCGTTTGGCTGCTGTGCAGCTGTACTGCTGCAGTGAAGCAGTTTTAAACGTAATGAACCTGAATACCCTTTTGTGCTGTATTCTTATATGCTTCACTTTATCATATAGAGACAAAATAAACCGTTGCAATTATTATCAGTTAAACTCACAAAAACAACTTCAGGGTGGGTCGAGGTTGTGGTCATGGTGAGATAAGACATTATGGAAACACAGTCAAGAAATGCTTCATGATGTTGAATCCAGGTTAGAGGTTCTTTATAAATATAAAATATCAGACAGCTAAACAGATTCTCAACAACCTACCTCTTATTGTTGTTTTTGAACTTAATTTGAGTTTGGTTGACTATACTAAACCACACAGCTTAACATGTTATTCAAGCATATTATATTTGTTTTATTTGACATATCTTTATTGTAGTTAAATTATATTTCTAAGGAATCCAACATGTGTTTCATGTGTCATTGATTGCAGCGTTTTGTCTGCTTTATGCTGATGATAACCTGCTTGTATACACAACAAAAGCCTCACACACATGCACCAAATGTGTTACAGTTCAAACAAGTTAAACCCAGCATCCAAACAACCCATCACAAATAATTAATTCATGCTGCATAAGTAGGCAATTTTTGTTTGAGTTCAACCTAGTTCACAAAAAAGAACAAACATAACTTTATGAGTAAAGTCATAGTATTTCCACAGAGTACACCCTGCCATCCATGTGATGCGGCATTGTTTTTTTTTTACCACTTTTCAAACACAAAACCTCCAGCCAGTATTCAGGTTAAGAACGAAAGCAAATTATTTTCTGTCTAATTTGTCATGTTCTTTTGCCAGAGAAAACTTGAAACACCTCAGTGAGAGTTTTACTCATGGTTTTCTCTTTATGTTTTCATTCTTCATTCTCTGCTCCTCTAATCATATACATACTCTTCATCATGTATCAGGGCAATTTTCAGAAAATAACCAGAGCAACATTCGTGTGGCCAAAATAGCTGGTTGATGCAGTAAGTGTGAATATATGAGCTCTGTGATTCATCTTCCTCGAGTCAATATTCTGGCAGGGAAGTGTAACTCCACCAGTTCAATATTTGCATAGTAGATGGTACAGGGACTGACAATACCCATATTTTTGGAAGGAAATAATCGTCCCAAGCAATATTTGGCCGGCCTTTTTTATTTTATTTTTTTAATTCATTTATTTACTTTATTGACTGCTTTTGAAATAATTTTTCTGTTAAAAATGTTTTGTTTATATTTCAAACAAAGTACATGTATAGACACACTAAGTCAATAAATAAATGTAAAAAAGGGACTTGTTTGCAGAGTGAAAGGACACACACACACACATACACATACACACACACACACACACACCACACACACACACACACACACACACACACACACCACACACACACACACACACACACACACACACACACACACACACACACACACACACACCACACACACACACACACACACACACACACACACACACACACACAGAACATCTGTATCTGTGATTCTGAATTAAAAATTGATAAATTGACCAGCTGTATGCATTGGGGCACCAGCACACACACGTTTTGTAGCATGTGGGGCATCATTACATTTGAGTCCACTAGTGTGTGTGTGTGTGTGTGTGTGTGTGTGTGTGTGTTTGTGTGTGCTATAGTGCGCTAAAGGTCAAACACTGTGACATTGTATCAGTAGCGCTCGTAAAATGAATTTAGGGGAACACTGGACACATTGTAAAGCTCCGGGTAGCCCTGCACTATTGAATTCTCTTCCATATTTACTGTGGACTGATTTTTTTTAAAAATGTTGTATTTTTAATAGCACACTAAACACTAAACTAAACAGATAATTACATTAATTATCAAGTCTGAAAAATACTTTTATTTGAACAGCCAAAAGAACAAGTCTTAAGACACAACATAGCATTTTTCTATTGTAGATCGCGGTTAATTTAGTAGTTTAAAACAACTAGCTTGTGAATAAAATGTTTTACAATCCCCTACCAATATACCACTTACCTCAGCATTTAAGACATTGTACCATTTTAGAGGTAAATCAAATAGTTCATGGACGTACTATGGCCATATCTGGCATTGAGTGTAGCCATTATATGGGTCAAAATGGGTCTTGTAGTAGGAAAGGTGCAAGGTTGCTGTATTGATTGGTTTCTATCCGT